GTCTCGAGCTGAAAGTAGCCGTTGACGACGGCGTAGCGCATGGCGCTGACACCACCGTACACGATACCGATCATCGCATACTGGAAAAGAATGGAGAGACACTCGGCCGACGTGTACACCGGGACACCACCGGCGCGGAGCGCGCCGTCTTCGAGGTCACCGGGCGTCTTGTTGGCTTCGTACTCGTCGCCGGCAGCCGCCGCCTTGTCGATCGAGTGCACGTACGAGAGGCGATGGGGGCCGTCACAAACTCCTTGGTGTTGTTCATGTTGCCGCTCAACCAGGAAATTGAAAAGTGAGCTCTGCGGAAAAGGGTGACCGTCGACGAAAACCCCCGATCTGATTTCGGGTGCTCCTGGACGGGCCACCGCACCAGATGGTTGCCGCCACCTCGCGTTATAAAACGAATGTTGTTGAAGTGGAAATGGACTTTTGTCACCTTCCAACGCCTTTCGCCGTCTCGTCCTGTCTAACCGGCCGACTCAGGCACGGGACCCAGATGCAATCGTACTCGGCGTCTCGTCTGGTGCTACCACATGCAGCAGTACACGCGGCCCGTAGAGTTGCATGGAATGGTAAACGACCAAGCTCTTGACGAACGGTACAATTCTGTCGTACAGGCTCAAAACAGATAGATTGGGCGATCTTGGTGCTCTGTGGCTTTGTGGCGTGTGGCTCATACGAAGGAGCTCCCAATTGCTCAATAGACGTGGGTGGGTATTGCTATCGTTTGTCGAGCCACCGGCTTTGCTACAAGCCCCTCAGTTGCTTCGCATTGATCTGATAACGCTAGAAGTGTAGAAGAAGGTGAACAAGCCACTCTTGTTTTGTACGCTTGCCATATGCCACCACGTGATCGATGAACGTTGATGTTGGAGGTGCGAAAGGGTACAATGCGCGTCACTGGCCCAGTTTCGCCGGCTAAAGTATTGCCCACTGATGTGCTCTAGAGATGAGCCAACGCGGTTTGGAGGTGACGAGCAAAAAATGTCAAAACGAGTCGTTCTCAACACTTGAGAGTTATCTTCACGCCGCCAAATTGGTCGGGGCGCAAGGTGCCCGACCAGGTCGAACGAGCTTGGATAGAAACAGGATTTTTCGTGGACAGGCACTTGCACATCTATTGTGGTCTGGATACAACGTGCTGATTTACCATTTGACGCCACGTTACCTTCATCGGCCGTCAAGGCTTGATCACCAGTAACGAACGTGACACACGCTATACCGACCAAAAATGGGTGAGTCGCACAACAGCTGTAAACGTTAAAGAACGATGCGTCGCCTGCTGCTGAAGCTTGTCGTTTACTGTTTGCAATAATACATCCAAGGATATACTATTACAGCGATAACTTGCTGTATATAAAGTAGAAAACGATTTTTCCATCGACCAGCAGAGCACCTCTCCACTGTCCTAACTTTTCAAGCTTGAGTGACAGGTGACGTCGACGGAGCTTGGACAACGATGGGAAGATGGGAAGGAAAGGCTCAGAACCCATGTACCCACAAAGATCCATCATCTGTAAATTCGTTGAAGTGGATCGCTTTACGTGAGCAAATTGTGCGGTTCCAAAACACATGGTGTCACCGTCGGTGCAGTAGGACACGGCACGACGGTCGTTCACTCGAGCACTTTCTGCAGTCGATGCAAACTCCAACCAAGAGAAAACGCCGCACGCCGTCCGTGGTCCAGCGAGAGCAGAACCGTGAGCGTGCACGCGTCTACTATGAGAACCACCGACAGAAGGTGCTCGCCAAGCTCAAGCTCAAGTACGAGCAGAAGCGCATCGTCATCCAGGCCAAGCGACGCGAACGCTACTTCCAGCGCAAAATGAGCCTTGCTTCGGGCTGCAGAGCACCCGCGCCAGAGCCCCATCGGCTATCGCTTCGATTCATTCTCAATTAATAACTCTTCATTATTCCAAAAACACCACGTCATGCATCCTCTCTCGAGCCACAAGCATGACGAGAGCATCAAAGAAGCGTTCATTGCCAAGACCAACTTCGCAATCCTGCCGTCAATAGACCAGCGATTTCTATTGTGTATGGAAGTCAATCAATGCACTGTCCAGGGCTACCTCTTGGTGGTTCTGGCGCGACGTGGTGCAGAGCCAGACTACCGTCCAGGGGCAATGTTGTATTCGCTCCTGGAACAAGGAGCTTCAAGTGTTGGAGCAAACAAGAGTTTCTTGGCGCCGGAGTGGCGTGGCGGGATCGCTGACTGACAAGAGAAGATTATCGGAACGCCTACGCTACTGATGTCGTCGCGTCCCTTCGTCGTTTTATCTCTTCTCCTCTTCTCTTCTTCTATTGCTCTTCGTGCACTCAAATTACTGCACGAAAATCTCTTCTGCTACGTCCTGGAACCGCACCGAGTCAGAAAGCCGGGGTCAGTTAGCAGCGGTAGCATGGATCGCGCGACGCTGACGTGCCGGTGTATGTATGCGCTTCGTAAGGTGTTCACTGCGGGAATGACACGAACAAACAGTTGTGCCGCCGCGCGCAAATCTCCCTTGCTTTTTCAACGACGAAGAGAACGACTTGGCACCGAATCTATTCAATTTGCATGGTACAGGACGATCAATAGAAACACTAACGAGTACTAGTAGCTAGAGCTCTGGCGAGAGCTAAGGTCAAGACAGCTGGGCGTCACGGAAGACTCGATCGTTAGCGACGAGCTAGACGCGGAATATCGTACTAGCAACCGTGCGGCTAGGTGGGA